TTTACTACTTTCTTCTTTTATGTAAATTTTTAGATCAATACATTTTCCTCTAATCACTGTTGAATCATACAATTTGGTTATGTTGTGGTTTCTTTATCATTCAGTTTGAAATATTTTTTCATTTACCATGTGATTTCTTCTTTTTGTTCATTGATTATTTAGGAGTATATTGTTTAGTTTCTAAATATAGGATATTTTCCTACATACCTTGTTATTTCTAGTTTAGTTTCATTGTCAAAGAGAACCTATTCTGAATGAGTTCAGTCATCTAACACTTACTGAGGCTTGTTTTATGACCTGTCATATGGTCTTTCTTGTTGAAAGCATATGCACACCTAAAAGGAATATGTATTCTGTAGTTTGAAGTGTGGTGGTCTTTAAATAGCACTTAGGAGTTCAGATAATTTATGTTTTTACTTATTTTTATGTCTACTTCTATCAACTGCTGAGAGAGGGATGTTACATTTCAAGTATGATTAGGGATTATCTATTTCTTTAATTCTGTCAGCTGTTCTTCAGATATTTTGAAGGTCTATCACTAAGCAAATACGTATTTATGATTTTTACATCTTCCTAATGAACCAGTCCTTTAATCATTATGAACATTCCCTTTTTCTCTATTAATGCTCTGTCTTAATATCTGTTTTATCTAATGTTAGTAAAGCCAGTCTAGTGTTATGCTTACTGTTTTTGTGGTTTATATTTTTCCATTCATTTGCTTTCAATCTGTCTGTATTCTTAACTGATGTCTCTTATAGATAACATGTAGCTGGGTCTTAGTAATTTATCCATTCTGGTAATCACTGTCTTTTAATTAAAGTGTAATATCCATTAACATTTGATGTTATTATTAATATGGTTAAATTTAGGTCTACCCTTGTATGGTTTGTTTTCTGTTTTTGTTCTTCTCATTGTGTTTTCTTGCTTTCTTTTGGATTTTTGAAACATTTCCTTGAATCCCATTGTAATATATCCATTGGCCTTCTAGCCCTATTATTTTGCATTATTTTTTAGTGGTTTCTGTAAGGATTATAGTATGTATCCTTAAATTTTCAGTCTACATAAAATTAACTTTTACATAAAGTGTAGATAGCTTGAAACTACATAGGTCAATTGACCCTCTTTCCATATCCTTTATGTTTTAGTTGTCATATGTATATAATTTATATATGTTATAAACACTACAAGACAGCTATAATTTTAGCTTAAAACTGTTTTTAAGGAAATTAAGAAGGGAAAAAGATAATTTCATGTCTTTGTGCTTGTGTGTGTGTATGTAGTTTTTATGCAAGTTTGTAATAATAGTTGCTTAACTCTAAATTTACTTAAGGTTGTTTACATAAACTTAAAGCAGTTAATTTTATGGTATTAAAAATTATACCCCGATAAAGCTAATAAAAACATCTCTAGGTGTCCTACGCACCCAAGTGCTATTTGCTTTTTTTTCCATGAAGATTATTCTAAAGCCAGCAAATTATTTGCCAGTATAATATATAGCCAGCAGAATATATAGCCAGTATATTTATTTGATTCCAAGTTAAGGCCTTTTCTTTGAGAGTATGAGTTTGCTCTTTGGAGTGGAATGTCCTATTTCTGGCATAAACCATACTCATACTGTTTCACTTATAAGGTCCAGTTTCAGTCTCTTTTTAAGTGAGGAGGAAAACATTTGAAGAAAGTTGAATGTAGAATCCTTTTTTTATGTAGTTTTTTTATACCATTTTTAAATTGAAGTATAGTTAATTTACAATGTTGCATTAGTTTCAGGTGTATGTCAAAGTGATTCAGTTATACAAATATATCAAACTTATATATATATAAATGTGATATATTTATATAACTGAATCACTTTGATATATATACACACATATATGTTTATATATATATATTCTTTTCCAGATTCTTTTCCATTATACATTATTATAAGATATTCAATACCATTCCCTGTGCTATACAGTCAATCCTTATTTTTTAATCTATTTTATATATAATAGTATATATCTGTTCCTGGAGTAGGAAATGACAACCCACTCCAGTATTATTGCCTGGCAAATCCCTTGGAAAGGGAAGCCTGGGCAGACTGTGGTCCATAGGTCTCAAAGAATCAGACACTACTGAAGCAACTTAGCATGTATGCAAGTATGTATCTGTTAATTCCAAACTTCTAATTTATGCCTCCCCACCCCTTACCATTTGGCAATCATAAGTTTGCTTTCTATGTCTGTGAGTCTTTTTCTGTTCTGTAAATAAGTTCATTTGTACCACTCAGTCTGCTATTGAGGAAAATTTTCCGAGTGAGGCTTGGCCTTTAAGGATGGGAATTAGCTCTCAGAACAGGAATGTGCATTTCAAGTAGTAGGGAGAGAATGGGCTCACCTTTTACTCGCAAGATTGCTAATCCTCTGAATGTCTGCTGACCCCTTCAAAATTGCCTTATATGTATGTGCATTTGTTCTTGCATTCATTTGTTCATTTCTTCAAAAGTGAAACTCTCACCCTGTTTTTCCCATGCTTTTTGATAGTGATTATTGTTTTTAAAAAAAAATCACTTACCTATAGGCAGCAGAAATGGATGAATGAAAGCAAAGCCCATCTTCTCTGTTCTTTCGCACTATCCCTAGAAATGTTATCAAATAACATTTCAGAGAAGTACAATAATGACCACCATTTGTTGAGCACTTATGCTAGACACTTGCTTAATGTTTTATACACATTTTTTCATTTAATGAATCCATGCAGCCACCCTGTAAGGTCAGAATTAGGATTTCCATGTGCAGATGAGGAAACTGAACCTTGGAAAAGTTAAGTAAATTGCCAAAATTGTCACTGTTGGAGTTGATGAACCAGAATTCAAAGCCATGTTTCTCTAACTTAGAAAGCCTGTCTCTTAACCATTATACTAAGATAGGTGATTGTGAAGATTTCCTCTGAATCATGGAAGGACATTTGGATACTTTTTTCCTTACAGTTCTCCTAGATAATTATGTTTTAACACCCAAAGATAATTGGAAAATTGTATTGAGGTTTAAATATGTCATTGATAGTTATGTAGCTCATATTAACTTTAAATTATATGGATTTTTTCACTAGATTATAGTTCCCATAAGACATGCCAGTCAAACATACGACAAGAGAAGGTTTCCATCACCCCATACCCTCCTTCCACCACTTGCCCTGCTTTTCATTAGTCGATTAGCACCCTCAGCAATAGTGCAGATTCTTAACAGTCTTCTAAAAATGTTCTCTTTTATCCAACCTCCAGTGCATAACCTGTTGAGACACCTTTCTGGCCGCAGGTGTCCTTGGGAGGCTTGTGCCCTGGCAGTCTCCCGTTACCTCTGTTGCGTTCCCAGCCTACCCACACCACTGCCACCCCCACATCTCCTGCCCAAGACACGCACATACACATCCCCATTTTCTAGTTTCACAGAACTCAAAACTCCTTAAACCTGCATTTTATAAACTGCTGTGGCTTTGCTCTTGCTATTCCAGTGCCCTCCCTGTTTATCTTCTGTTCTCAACCTGGGAAAATCCTTCTTATTCCCCAAGGGGCAGTTATAAATGCCACGCTATCTGTGGAGCCTTCTCCCCTTCTCCAGGAGAGGCTGTGTTTATCACTTTTCTTCTGACTCTCCGAGCATTCCGTGTATGTCTTTGGTAGCACCCTTAAGACATTTAGGCACAGTTCACTTTCTATCTAGTTCCCCTCTCCAGAATGGGAGCTCCTAGGATAGATCATGAGGAGTTTTTTGTCTGTTATCTTCAGTGCCCTCAGGTAAGAGCTTCTTAATGAATCACACTGAATTGTTAGTGATATTGATAATAACCTTTATTAAGTGCATTCTGTGTCTTAGGCACTGTGCTTGACATTTGTACACATTATTTCACTTAATTTCATGCTTACCCTATATTATAAGGAGAGTTTTTACCCCTATGTTACTAATTAGAAAATTGAAGTTAAGAAAGGCAAAATAATTTGACCAGGGCAGGACAGCAAGCAAGTAATAGAGTCAAGATTTGAACCAAGTGTCTGACTCCAGAGCTCATTCTCCTTTATACCTATAGGATCAATCAGTCAATCTATCCATTAATCAAATAAGTTCCCGGGGAGTTATCTCCAGCTAAGAGATACAGTCTCTATTGAAACCAATCCTGAATGACTAAAGAGGAGGACATCAAAGATACTGTCACCAAAAGGATAAGTGAGGTCCCTTGGAGAAGGCTTGAGTGTCATTTGAAAAATCTTGTTTGGTCACAAAAAGAGGCTCAAAGAAATCAACTGTGATCACTGATAAAGTTAGGCTCACAGAATACAGTACCTGGAAAAATCACCATCACACATCGCTTTTGTGAAGGGTGAATGAGAAGTAGAGAAATGTCATTGTTTGGAGAATGGTGTGGCTCATCAAAAGCCAGAACTGTCCTTTTACAAAGAAGATCGAGGTCCAGATCAATTAACTGGCTTGCCCAAGGGCTCATAGCTAATAAATAACGGAACTTGGACTAGAATTCCAGTTTCCCGAGTCCCAGTTTAGAGCCTTTTGCATAGCGTGCTCTCTTTTAAAGCTTCTGTATTCATGTTTGGAGGGAAAAGATGCTAGGCCGAGACTGAAGTCAGCCTTTGAGGGGAACAGCTTGATGCTTTTGGAGCTGGTCAGCTTTTGCCGGAGACCCGCTGCTATTTTGGGCTCTCACTTTGCTCAAAACTAAATACTGCCAGCCATACAAATAAAGGGCAAGGCTATTATTTAGGCCTCCTAGGTCTATGCATTCACTTCTCTGCTTGCAAGGGCAAATTATTAGTTCATCTCTGCTGGGCAGTTTGAACATAGGATTATATTAGCCCTTGTCTTAGCACTTAGATGTCGGCTAGCTTGTCTCTGTTGTAATAAATGTACAAGCTTTGCTTTTAGATTGGGAGAGAAGAGGGAAAACAAAAACATCTCCATCAGTCTCTACTGATCCTGATTTCTTATGTTGTTTCTTTCTGTTTCTTTCAGGGCGACGAGGAAGGACCCGGGTAAGATCACATTACTGTTGCTTATGTGTTCTCAGAATTGAAGTAGAGCGACACTTGTGGCCTTTGAAGGCCCCATGAAATATGCCAGCCAAGGAGCAGCACAGATAAGGGATCTCCATCTTAAGCCAGGGGCTTTGCAGATCTTATTTTGTAAGATTCCCATCTCCCCCCCATCTATGCCATTTCCTGTCTGTAACCTTCAGATAAAGATAAGCTTTAAAGTATACAATGACAGTAACTCTGCTTTATTCTGTAGCACATTCCGAATACCTTGTTAAGACCAGTAGGTACTATATTTAAATGGTAATTAGGTATCAGGTGGGCTGAATAGATAAACTTTTGCACTGTTCTTTCTTGATTAGAATGGGATTGGTTTTTTAAAAAAAAATTTAATGGACTCTGGATCCAATATTCTTTATTTCTGACCTATAACCTTGTGTCTGACTCAAGACAGCTACACAGGGAACTCAAGGTCATAGGTATACAACACTTTGTTTAGGAAGAAAAAAATGCTTCTTTGTGCTGTTGTTTCATCACCTGAGATTTAAAAGTGCATTTTTTCCATTGCCTCTGCTTCTTAGTAAACCTGGACTTTGGTTTACTGACCTTCGCTTCTTTCTGCCCAGCAGCGAGAACAGGCTCTAGGCAACGCTGTAACTCTGCTGTGAACACAATCAAGGGGCATTTGTACAAAGTAAAATGCAATGTCCAGATGGGCCCCCTCTGTCACATAGGATCCAGGACTGTTAAGGCTGGGAGTTGTCAGAAAGATCATCCAGGCCACTGCTATTCAAACTTCAGTTTTAGTAGAAACAGCTTTTTTTTCAGATGGGCCTTGGGTAGAGTGTATACAAAACATTTTTTGTCTGGTTAAAGTTGGGGCCACATCTACTGGTGAAACTTCTCTATTCCTTACAATAGACCCCGAGGGGCTGCTGCAAAAACCCAGGGTTCCTGAGGACTCAGTTTGAAAATCACTCATCTAATGCAAGCCTCTCATTGAAAGAAGCTAAATGAGTTGCCCAAGGTTACCTTACTGGAGCCAGGATTTGCTCCTTCTTTGCTTTTGTTTACAAATACAGTTCCTTCTTATTCCTTTCTCCCTCCACACATCCTGAGCCCGTCTTGGTGCCAGATGTTATCCCACATCTGTATCTCCTGCTGCTTCCTTCCTTGGGACTGTAGTTCTCAGCCTAAATCTCATTCCTTGTCCTCTGTGGCTAATGGTACAGGCGCCCCCGCTTTAAACTCAGAGAGCTTCAGGGGATCCCTTCAGATCCCATCCTCCAGCCATCCTCAGGAACAGGCTCGCTTTGTGTGGTGGTTCATTTCTTTCCTTCCTTCCTCTCTCCCTCTTTTTCTCATGACCCTACTGTGTGTCAGGCACTGTGCTACACACTGGGCAGGTGTGGAAACTAACAGACATGGTCCCTGCCCTTGCGAGTCCTCAAGTCTAGTAGGAGACAGGCACATGACCAGGCACTTGCAGTGTGGAGGCAGTGCTGCGATTAAGTGAAGGTCAATCTGCTTTAGGAAGGGCTCCTGAGACAGTCTTGGAGAATAAGGGGAGGCTAACCAGAAAAGGTTTTCTGTAAACGGAGGTCTGAAGGATGAGGAGGCAGTCAGAGGAGAGGCAGAGACAGGGCTGTTACAGGGACAGGGAACAACTTGGGTAATGGCTCTAGACAAGAGAGGAGTGGAGGACAGAAAGCAGAGTCCAGCTCACGGAGGGCCCTTATAGGCCTCCTGAAGTGGGAGGGCATTAAATAACTTAAAACATGAATTAACCTGAGTAGATTTGCATTTTGGAAGTCTCGTCTGCATGCTCATCTGCATGCAGAATGGGAAGTGGATGGGAGGTGTTTCAGAGCCTGGGAGACTAGTAAGATCAGGCTCGTGATGTTGGGAGCCTATATCAACATCTTCTCTAGTTATTGACCAAGTTTTCACCATTTTACACAGACCTCTGGTTTAGACAAATTCATCAGATTATCTGTAAACCTTTGGTTTAGACAAACTCCACCTCTTCTCTCAAAACTAGCTCTGGCTCCTTAAAATTCAGACAAAGCAGAGTCGTAGACATTTTCTTCCCCAGAGAGAGGATTCAAGCAAGACCAATATAAAGAAAACACTTCAGTCTATGTAGTGTACATATTCTGCATATAGAAATGGCATTTCTGTCTTGTGAGCACCTGGTTAGGATGGACATGTTCATCTTGTCTTTATGACCACATGCCAGAGTCATGTTGACCTTATGAAGGGACCTAATGAAGAGATTAACTCCCTTCAGAGATACAGTATGAGATACTGGCTTCAGAGTTAATTGCAGATTCCTTCCTGTCATTTTGACAAGATAGTGGTGAAGTGTTTAGAGTTTCTCTGGGCTTCCCTCGTGGCTCAGTGCTAAAGAATCCACCTGCCAATGTAGGAGATGTGAGTGTGATCTCTGGGTCCAGAAGATCCTTGAAGGAGGGAATGGCAACCCATTCCAGTATTCTTGCCTAGAGAATTCCAGGACAGAGGAGCCTGGCAGGCAGCAGTCCATGGGGTCTCAAAAGAGTCAGACACAAGTTAGCAACTAAACAACAACAAATAGGGTTTCTTTACTAGCAACCAAGATATCAAGCTTTCTCCCTCAAGCCAAGCTGCCTGCCATGGATGTCAGTAGGGATCTGTTGGACCGGGACTTATTTGGTGAAATGAGCACTTGAAAAAAGCGTGTTTCAGTATGGCAGAAAGAGGAGTCAAATTTTCCTTTTACCCTTTAAATTCCTACCTGGTTCCATTCAGTTTGTGTTGAACTACCATTTGGCTCAATTTATTCCAATTAACACCTCAGGGCAGATTGCCTTTGATCTGAAATTTCTCACATTTATGATATACGCTTTACCATCTCAGTAAGCCAGAGTTTTGTTCCAAAGGCTTCTGTATTGCTGACAGTGCAAAATGAGAGTTTGATGTGTGAGGAAGACAGAAGGAAGTGTGGATCTCGCCGCACAGGGGACGGAAGAGACATGAATCTGGAGACGCTGTGTTCCAGGTCTGCTCGGGAGTCTCACACCTGTGTCTCCTTTGCTAGTATTCTTACCACACAGCTCCTTCCCCTCTCTCCACAGAAGTCCAGGGAGGTTGGATTCCAACCACTCTCTATGGTGGTCGGAACAAAGGAAATACCCTGTCCTTTTGAAACATATTTGTCTGAAATCGATCTATATTTTCCTCCATTCCTGCCAGCTAGAGTCTCCCAGCCTTCTTTTTTCTTTTCACTTTTGACTTCCCAAGCTGGTTAGATTTGAGGTGGCCAAGTATTGTGCTTTTGGTCATGTCTGTTCCTTGTTCTGAATTCTATTGTGTACTTTTCCTGCTAGTTAACAACAATGATGATCAAAGATACCGTTTTTTGAAGTTTTACTGTGCACAAGTGTTTTTTATATACTCTCTCTTAACCCTCATGTAAAGCTTATGATGGAGCTATTGCCCCACTTGTAAAAGAGAGGAAATGAACACGCAGAAAGATTAACTTGCCCTGGATCACACAGCTAGTAGAAGCAGAGATAGGATTTAAATCTAGTCTGGTTTCAGAGCCCACGCCCTCATCCATGATGCGGACTATCTCCCAGGGGCCAGCCCACTTCTCTCAGTAACCCTGAATGAAAGGCATGAGGATTCACGCTCACTTGTCAGAGTGATCACTTTGATCTCATTCCTCTAACCTGGGAATACTTACTTGCATTGGCATTCAAATGTTGGCCTCTGTTTTCTGCAGGCTACTTTTCCTCTCCTTAGCCTCTGTCACTTTAAGGGGCTATTTCTTCATCTCGTCCTCATACAATGTGCCCTGAGGGTCAGCTGTAAAAGGGGTGCTTTTAGACTCCCTTGGGAGCAGGCAGCCAAGCCTTCCTTTGACCCTGCAGAATCAGCTGCCATTCTTGGTAGTCCCTCTTCAAATCCATGATCCAGTTATATAGACGACAAGGATTCTTGGAGGGAGTGAAGGAACAGAAGTCCTAATATGTAGAACATGGATATTAACCACCGTGGAATCACCTTTTAAGAGGGTATCTTTAAAGCCCAGAGTGATTTTTTTTTTTTCTAGCCAAAGGAAAAAAAAGCAATTTACACTTTTGGCAGCAATTTTCTGTCTTCTCTATGCTATTATGGGAGATCTTGTGTTTGCTCCCTCACAGATTGGCTCCTTCTCTACTCCTGCTGGAGCCTGCTGAGAAGTAATATATATTCAAGGAGAGGAGGCGGCAATAGGCGCTGCTGCCTTGAAAGCTGTTGTGTAGTGGGAGGAAGTCAGAGAGGGAAGGACCCTTAAACTCGTGTGTTCTGAGGAGAAAGTAGCAAGATCAATATTAAATTTTCATCTGCTATTGAGATTTTCTCTGATTTTTTTTTTTAACTAAAAGGAAAATGGCTTTTTAAATAGTAACAGCCATACGAGGATTTCTGTAGAATTTTTCATCTTCAGAGCTGGCTCTTATTCAGGCAAAGAGCTCCCGCTGAGATCAGTGTGAATCTGACCATGCTGATTCTGTGATCCAACAAGCAGTCGTTCTGAGGAAGTAGGAGCTCAAGGAGAGTCAGCAGACCTACCTTCTATTCTTGGGGGACCGACTGTGTGACCTTGGGCAAGTCATTTAACCTCTTTGTCTCTGTGTAGCTGGGTTTTATTTTCCTGTAAACACTAGCCCTTCTTTGCCGTACTCTGCCCCCAGTTTTTGGGAATATAGTGTGTGCAGGAGTGCGGTCATATATCAAATGTGAAATGAAAAGAATCTGCTTATAGCAGATTATGGATTCTGTAATTTGGTAGAGTTTTTTCCCCTATATTTCTCAGTTTTGTTTCTTTAAAAATTTTCTTGGTTCTATATATTTTCCCCATGCCGTAAAATAACAACCATATGTCTGTCCTCAGGTCTGGCGTTTCTCTTCCTAATTACTTTTTTGTAGAGATAAGAGGGCACTAAGTCAGTGATACACTTAGGTATCTTTTATCCTCTGATGGTAAATTTGTGGTTTGGTATTTACATTGTCTTCATTTAAGAAGACCTAAGTGGAAGCCAAAGAAAATGGCTTTGATAGTTGTGACATGGAGTGGAACTGTCAGGATTGCCTATTATCCACACGTGGGGCTCTAACATCTAACTTGGTCTTCAGCACAGAGAGTGTCTTTGCTGTCACATTTCCCGCTTATGGAGCCTGAGCTGACATTGTTTTCCTCTGCTGATGTGAGTTGTTTATCCTCTCCTCACCCAGATGAAGGATGAAGCCATGCAATGCATTGTCCTGCCTCTCTTTAATAAAAGCAAGCCTGCTTCCTAAAGTAATTGATTTTCGTATATTTGCCTGTGAGAGTCACAGCTTTATTTTATTTTGTGCATATTGCCAATAACCAGAGAATCCATTCAAAGCTGGAAGACTCAGCCAAGGTGACTCTAGCTTATTCTACCTACCTCACAGTGGCAATACTAGCTTGGAGCAGCCTGCCTTTTTTGGCTTCATAATGCTAACAAAAAAAGGCCCAGGAGGAAGAGACCTGGATGTCACTTTTCATAGTGTGGTTTTATGCTAAATCAACTTTGGTTTGCCATCCAGTGCATAGTTATGATGCTTGGCAGACTTACCTCGTTTATATGTTTGACCTCAGAGCTCATCAGAATAACATTCACTTTTAGGAGCTCTGTTCCCTTATCTCTTTAGCAAGTAAAATTGCAGAGGAATTTTTTCATTCATTTGTTCAGAAACATTTTCAATTGTCTATTCTGTTGCCAGGCCCCATGCTAGGCCTCAGAGATACGATGATGAAGAAAGACTTTGGCTCTGTATTTGAAGATCTCAGAGTCTAGTTCAAAAGAGAGAACTAAGTAAACAATTTTAATTTCACATGTAAGGGCAATATAGTAATTATAATTATTATAAAAAGAGCATTTATTGAATGCCAACTATGTTGTTGATGCTGGGAAAGATTGAGGACTGGAGGAGAAGGAGACGACAGAGGATGAGATGGTTGAATGGCATCACTAACTAAATGAACGTGAATTCGAGCAAACTCTGGGACACAGGGGAGGACAGAGGACCCTGACTGCAGTGCTGCAGTCCAAGGGGTTGCAAAGAGTCCGACACGACTTAGCGACTGAATAACAGTGATGTCAGTGATGCTGTCCAACCGTCTCATCCGCTGCTGCCCCTCCTCCTTCTGCCTTCAGTCTTTCCCAGCATCAGGGTCTTTTCCAATGTATCAGAAAGTACTTTAAACATTTTTTTTAAATTTCTCATAGCAGTCCTAATAAGTGGTTAATACATTATCTTCATTTCTCATCTGAATGAGAAAACCGACTTGCAGAAAGGTTCTATGTACACTAACAAGGTCACTCAGCTGAAAAGCGGTAGAGCCAGTATTCAAGTACTCTGATTTGAGACTGCGGGCTCTTGACCACTGCAGTACAATGATTCTCTACAATAAATATGTTGGATGTAGAATCAGGTACAACTAACTCCAAATAGAGAATAAAAAAAAAAAAATAGCGTTTGTGCTGGCTTTGAAGGACGGGTGTAGGAATTAGCTTTTCTAGACAGACAGGGTAGGAAGGCCATGCAAGCACAGAGACCAGCATTTCTGAAGGCTCAGAGGGATGTAAACTCTTGTACTGTATGGGGAAGGGTGAGTAACTGCATGACTGGCCTGAGGCGGGAGATGGGACTAAAGGGTGGCTGATTCTCCCTTGTCCAGGGTCTTATGTGCCATTTGAGGCACCACATGGTTTATACCACTTCCTGTTGGCTTTGCCTCTTGACTACAGCAGTGCCCTCCCTATTCATAGAAGAAATGGATGGACTTTTGAATCGTATGGGTCTCCTCCTGTAGTCATAGTTCATGAGTTGTTATGTGTAAATTGTTTGCTTTTTCTGTGCCTCGGTGTTCCCATCAAATCGCACATCTTAAGCTATACTGAAAGGACAAGTAGTTTATGAAGCATTAAAAGTATTCTCCTTTTGGGTTTCTCCTTTTATATAGAAAAGCAACTGAGATATAGTTGTAAAAGGAAATTGTTTGTTTTTATCTTACTTATACCTGTTTTGACAGCTCCCACCTTCCTCTAACTTAAAGCCAAATTTGGAGAGTAGATACCTGGTTCCTTCTTAATTAATGCAGATAAGGAATACTAAAGCACTAGCATTTTCCAAACAGATTTAAGACTCTAGATGTTTCTTAGAAGCTAGTCAAAGAACTAAATTGATGTCACAGGTATCCCTGATTTAGATCCAGTGCTGAATAGTCTGGTTGGAGCCTAATTCTCTTCTTCCTTGTGTAGTCTTCATAAACATTTTGGACTGGCACTAAGGCAGTGACAGATGTTAACGAGTCACAAAACTCCAGTCTGCCTTTGAAGAATAAGTAAATCTGATGTCCTTGGTTCTGCCCCCTCCTCATCCCTGGCAGCCGCAGCCACATGTCATTAGTGGTGTCTTTTTCATTTGAGGAGAAACCTGCTGGTCCCTAGCATCTTCCTACTGCCTCTCAGTGAGAGGCAGGCGAGAGGTGGATAATTCCCTTTCCCCAGTAACTTCCAAGGAGCCTTCCTTTCTCTGTAGGCTCTGTATGGTTGAACTGCATTCAGCACGTTACCCAGAAACCCACAGCAGGTGTCTGTACCAGATGCTGGGAGCAGAAGCTGGTGTGTTTTTTGTGTGGGGATTTTTCTTTTCAAGATGGTATGAAGTTTTGGAGTCACTGTGTGCAGGTTTCTTTAAAATGAGAACTACAATGAGGAAACTTCAGAACCTGAAGGAGGTGGCCAAAGGCTGAGCTAAGACTGGGGTATCCTAAACGGTGATGTCTTTGCCAAGGAACAGTACTCTTGTGCCTGTCCTATTTGGACCTGGGGCCTGTGAGTGGTTGTAAGTTCATTAAAAAAAAAAAAGAACAAAAAACTTCTTTAGCCAGAAGCAGGGGTGTTAGGAAAGAAAAAGACTTCCTTACATAAATGCCTCATTCCCGCACTCCTTAGCACCACTACCAATTGTTCCCTGTAGGTTGTAATGTGGTTGTAAAACAGAAAAGTGTTTTGTTTCCTTGGTGAGTACATGCCTCCTTCCCCCCCTGGTTCTATCAATTCTATTTAAAGGAAAGTGAGACTGAGCGTGAGAAAAACAGTAGAGACAGGGAGGAGCTGACAGAATTACAGAGAAGGTAGGCAAAGAAGCATTTCTCAGCTGTCCCTGGCTGCTAGATGCATCGGTTCAGATGCTGTGGGGCAGTGTACCGTTTTATCCTACTTCTCAGATACTGCCACTGAGACAAGGACCGGTTAAAACCCACCTAGCTGCCGACTTTGCCCTGACTTTCAGGGCTGTTCGGGATTAGCACCTAAGCAGCTGTCATAGTGATACCTGCTTATGTGTGTACCTAAAATAGGAGTCAGACCTACATATATTATTTCAAAGCTTTAAAAAAAAAAACTGTTAAATTTAGTTATTCCCATCCTCTTTTCACAGATGAAGAAATTGATATTACAGGAAGTTCTTAGGCCATGGTCACACAGTTAGAAAGGATTAGAACCCAAATCTGTCAGGCTTAAAATTCTGTGCTTTTTCCCTGCACCCTATACTCTCATTCTCAGGAGATGGAAGATTCGTATCTTCCAACATCTTGGCTAGCAATAAGTAAAGTTAATGGATGGAATGGTGACAAGCCATGGGGGATTTGGCATTTTTATCAGAAAATGTTGTTTCCCTTTTCTTTATTGAATGCCAACAGCAGTTTATGTGAGGCAGAAGTCGAGGTGGAACTTGCCAGGAAACTGCCTACGGTGGAATGGACAGAAACTTCTCTCCCCAGACAGGTAAACGTTAGTTTACTCCCTGGCTTTTGCGGCGCCAGCAACTGCCGTCGCCTCTTCTGAAAGAGCCACTGCTCACCCAGCGGCAGGTGCAGGCCAGCTGTTGTCATGACAACGGCAGGAGAGGCAAGCAGTTTAATTCCAGAACTGATAATTAACTTGGGGGTGGGGTGGAGGTGGGGAGAGAAATGGGGGGATAATTGTTTCAGGAGGGGAAACTTAGCAATTACCAGCAAGCTGCACAGATAAAAAAGGCCAGGCACAGACGCCCCAGCTCAGCATGCCCCTGGAATTCAGCACTCATCCCTTCTGGTTAGGAATTTTTGATAAATGAAAATGAAGGGTCGAGTCCCCAGCCAATCAAGACTCATTAAGTACCAAATAAGGAAAAAGGAAGTTATATAGGCTGTAAGAAAGAAATGCAGGGGGCCAGATAAATGACTGCCCTAAATGACATCACCCAACCAGCAGCAATCCAGAAATGCTATCTAAACTCTGCAGGAGGAATTCATGCCTGGAGATAAAACAAGACCCACAAGGCATACCCATTGTGAGCTTCAGCTTCTGTGGATGGAATCCGGGAGAGTGGCTTATTAGAAAGAAAATAAAAAGAAGACTTACAGAGGTGATGAACTTGTTAAGGTCATTGATCATCATGGCTAGTCATCTATCAACTCCTCAGAGACTGCAATAATGAACGTGAGCTAAACATTTCACATGGATCATCTATCTCATTTAATCCTTACAACAGCCTGGGACATTGGTGCTGTTATTATTCTCATATCAGACTTACACATGTTCAGTGCTTTATCCAAGGTCACAGCGCTAGTAAAGCAATGTACTGAATCCTATTATCCTATTAATTTGTGTTTTTAAAGTAAAACCTATAGTACTCTATGGGGATGTCATGGTCCCAATCTAGAGTAAAATCAGGCTTAAAGAGATACAAACAGTTTACAATAAAAAGGAAAGTATTTTTTTCTAGTAGAAGAAAGATAAGCTAAAAAATAAAAATTACTAGATAAGCAGTGCTGGAGAATGTCCTGTCATGGGTTTGAGATCTGTCAGACTCGTGGTTCACAGATTAGCCCTGTGTCACAGATCAGCTCAGATCAGATGACTTAAGTGTGAGTCAGGAGTTCTTCCAGACTTATTCTGTGGCTCAGGGCAGGTTAAGGCTTGGACGAGGAGGTGACATTGCACAATGCAAAGTAATTGTCCAAAACTCCTCTAATGATAGATTTTCACCAAACTTCCATGCTTCATGTATTTTTCATGGGAAAACTGCCATAGTGTATAGCAAGACCTCCCTGTATTCCAGAGTATGTGTGTGTAATGCACATACATGATATGAGAGAGAAACAAATAGAGTTGGCGGTGGGGGGGTGTGGAGACGGAGAAAATGTGGGGAAGGGAGAAAGAAAGATTTTACTTTAAAACAGTGAGTCTCAGTGAAAGGAGAAACATAGTGTTCATGTAGTACTTATAGCACATTGTTCCAGGCATTGTTCTTTGGTGTGCAAAATATAGTTTTCAACAAAACATTCATGGTCCACATAGCCCTCAAAGAGCTTATAGTCTAAAATCTCAAAGACTGAAGAATGTAAATGGTATGTAATTTAAAAACACATCTTAAAAAAAGCCATTAGTTCTTCTCTTAAAACCTATTACAAGAACTAAAACTTTCCCAGTCCTTTTGGCTAGTAGGAAAATGTGTAAAAGATAGAATACAAGAGAGACATAGATTGATAATCACTACTTAAAACTATGAGCTTCCCTTCAGTTTTTCAGAGGTTTGACAAACTAGTAAGTTGATGTTGCCTTTGCAAATGAAACAATTAATATCAAAATTTGGGTGCTCAACTGACATAATAATTATGCTGGAAAATCTAATTTTGTCTGCATAATGGAAGCGGGATTACTTCAAGGAGATCTCATTAAAGTGTGTTCATCTACAAAAAGCAGTGTAACCTTTCTTATTAGATTGTTGCAGGGTCATGATGCAAAAGGCAGTTGGAATAATTCTCAGTCTTTTGTTCTAAGAAAATAAATTAAACACTGTCTAGGAGTCTAGATATGGAAATCGAAATCATTGAAGACAGAAAAACAACGTAGTCACTCATTCTGAATTTACATAACCTTTTTATTTCTGTAGGTTTCATTCCACTTATCCATTTATTAAAATAAATTATATCCAATGTCTGTTATGTGCCAGGCAGTGCTAGATGTTGAAACTGTCATAGAAATCAAAAGCCCAAACAGTTCCTTTTTGCATGGTGCTTACCTTATAGCAATTGATCTCTCCTCCCCATTTCAGAGCCATACATCTATTCTCTGTTCAACTCTCTCCAGTCTTAAAGAATCAGCACCTTACTAAAAAGATGCTCATCACGTGCAGTTATAAATGGGAATCCCCCAATCCTGGGCTTCCAAGTGTATTAGACTGAACACTGATTATCTGAGTTGTTGACTTAGTCTTTTAAACTAGGGTTCTAGGGTCCAATAAGTCTGGCAAATGCTGCTTATTTACCCAGCTCTTGAAGTTCCATAAGTACCATGGCATAATAAAGGCTTTGAGCACTCCTATAAATAGTAAGAGACTTACTTACTTTGTTTAACCCAGCATTCCCAAACTTCTTGTCCATGAGGATCTTTTATCCCCTATCACATAAATACCCTTTAGCAACAGTGTTCCTCAACTGGAGGATTGTGGCTCACCGTCCACTAGATGTTAAGAACTGTTGCTGCTGAATTGCCATCTAGACAGAGGGCATAAGAAACGTAAGACAATGTAGAAAGAGCCCACATCTCTCAGGCTGAACTCTTGTGTTTTTAAAAAACTAGGTCTTCTGAACCATTTCTCTACTATTATTAATATATGTCCAATACAAATGGGAGTATAGCTATCAGAGGTTCAAATAATGGAAACTGATACACCATCCTGGGAAAAGAAAGTCTGGAGAAGGCCACTGGGAATTTTTTTAATTGGCATGAAAATGAAACTCGGATGTCCATGATTCCTTTCAAAAATAACTTATCTATCATACATCAGTTTTTTGTTCTTCTGGTCTTAATACCATAATTCCTTTCACTCTGTAACAGTAAAAAAGTTGTAATTCCTACATATCCCAAGCACCTAGCTTGTTATGTAGTACAGAATAGACTCTCAGATATTGGTTGAGTGAATGACTGAGACAGACAATGACAAGGGATGTTACTAAATACAGAGCAATATAGAAAAGTGCCCTTTTTCCAGTTTTAGGTCAGTGTATAAAGTGAGTGTATCCTTTTGTCATATGATAGTGCCATGCTTAATAACAAGTTGAGGGAACCGAGAAAATTTATATGTATAGAAGTATCTTTCAAACTGTTACATGCTGCGTCTAAGGAGTTGTCCTGTTTGGTGTTTTGCTTTGTTTTTGTTTTTTTTTAAATCCAGTGATCAGGGAGGTGCTCAGTATTCTGTGTCAGAAATTTCCCCAGTATGACCTGGCTCTAATACCACGTGGATTATACACCAGGATTGCAGTATTCTGACTTAAAGAGAGGAAGGCCGTGAGACTATGATGTCAGGTCTTTGATAGAACTTCTGTGTCCGTCAATTTTCTCATCAGTCGTTTGGGAGCCATAGAGCACCCATTCTGTCTGTATTAACGATTAAGTGAGAGAACATATGTGCATAATAGTATATAATAAATACACATAAGAAATGTAAATGATGCTCTGTGCCCTTCATAAGTATAAGCATTAAGCAAGCAAAATGACATAAAGTTAAGTCTTTTCATAATACTATTTAAGACATAACCTGAGGTTCGTATATGAATTCTTTAAATAAGCATTTATCAGAAGTTACAAAAGAAACAAGCAGTTCACCTTTGATTCAGTACCTTTACAATTTACATGGTATACACAGGTGGCTCAGTGGTAAAGAATCCACCTGCTGAACAGGAGATGTGGGTTTGCTTCCTGGCCTGGGAAGATCCCCTGAAGAAGGAAATGGCAACCCACTCCAGTATTCTTGCCCAGAATACTCCATAGACAAGGAGCCTGGTGGGCTGTAGTCCACAGGGTCACGAAAGAGTTGGACTCGACTTGGTGACAACAACATAGACATCTTGTTTCCTTATTCAGACAAACCTGAGATGTAGTTTTGCTTACCCCCATGTTACCTCGATGAGAAAGTGATCTGTGAAAGTGATGAGGAAGTGATCTGTTCAGGGTCGCCCAGCTAGAACCAGAAGCGGCGAGAGTCAGGACTTGCAGTAAGGCCTTCTTGTTCTCTGTCCCGTGCCTTTGCCCTCACAGCTGCTTTTGTTCAAAACATCGCTCTTGCTTCTCTCCTCCCTCCCCAGCGTGTTCTACCCTTGACTTCTCCTTTAGATGGCATCATCATGTCTCAAGCCAGTAACCTAAGAGTAATACTCAGTATCTCTCTCTTCTTCACATTCCACATCCAATTAATCAGTAAATTTTGTCAGATTTACCCTCATCTATACATCAGATCCAAGGACTCCCTCTCCTCCGCCCACTCTCCATACTGGTCCAGGCCATGTAATTTCTCTCCAGGCATTCTGCTGTCATTCCCTTACGGCCACTGTTACTCATCTTTCCCCTCAGTGTAACCAACCCCCGCCCCCGCCCAATCCATTCTTCATGTAGATACTGAAATGTTCTTTTAGGAGACAAAGGAAGTCATCTATTTAGAATGCTCCAGGATGAAACATATCATGTCTGGAGTTTGCTTCAGAATCACCTGGAGGAAGAGGACCTATAAAGTCACGCAGGAGGGGGTTCCGCCATCCTCACACCTGCTGTTCACCCCCGTGCCCGCCGCAGCCACACAGCTCTCTCACTGTCCTTCAGATGGAAGGGACGGTCCTTCACTTCAGGGCCTTCGTGTGTGGGTTCCCTCCTGCCTGGGTGTTCCTCCTCAGATCTTCACACGGCTCATTCCCTCTCATTATCTAGGCCTCAGCTGAAATGTTGCCTCTTTGGACCTTCCTCGCTTCCTTACCTGCTTTGGCTTTCTGCTATACTTGTCACTACATGAAAATGGATTGTATATGTAACTTATTTTTCCGCCCACTGGAAGTAGATGTCATGAGGGCAAAAGCTTTGTCTTTTTCACCGCTGTTCTCTCAGTGTCTGGAAAGTGATAGGCACACAATTAATTTGAATAGATAAATCGCTATGCAAAACCTGTTTTCAAAGTTGTAGAGAGAACTCTGGTTTGGAACAGGAAAACCTTAGACTCACTGGATCATATCCTCAGCCTGTCACCTCGTGCAGGGCATTTACCTTCAGCCGTTATTTGCGAATCTGCTTTTGTTATCCGCCAGCAGCCTGTGAGTTTCTGAACGGTGGCAGCTGTACCTGGTTTCTCTTCATCTCAGTAGAAGACATAGCAGGTCTGTTAAACTATTCGCTAACTGAATACACAAGCAATACTTAGCCATGTTCCAGGCTTGGAAAATGACTGACTAGGACTCATGAGCCCTCGGCTATTCCTTAGATAATAACGATCATGGCCATAATAGCAAACGCTGATAAAAGGGCCTGCCACGGGCCAGGTGCTGTCCTAAGAGTTTTACGTGTCATGATTTCATTTAATCCTTTTGATGGCCCTTTCGGGGTAGAGGCTGCTACTGTCCCCATTTTCCAGATAAGGACAACCAAGCACAGAAGGAGTGAATAGTTTG